AAAGCTGCAGCAGGGAGATGACACGGCAGAGCATCCCAAAACCCAGAAATTGTTGATGATTTCCGTTTCAAGCATCCACCTGCGAGAGAGTACCCTCGTAGGAGTGGGACATTGCAGGCAGAAGCAGCCAGCAGGAGAAGTGTACTGGAAACCACGAGAAAACTACAACAGGCTCCATCAGTGCCAAGCTGAAGGCAGCGAACTTACGAACTTAGTCATGCGTCTCATGGCCTGTGGACCAAGCCACCCTAGCTTTGGCTTTGTTCAAGCCTCCTACAAGCCACAGTTCACGACTTCACGTGGCTTGGGTACCCGTTGTATCTAGAGCTGCCCCCTCTCGGTGCAATAAAGCCTGGAACTAGTGCTGCCACTACCAGAGCTTCAGAAATAGAGAATTCTAGTGATGCCACGGGCAAGCTTAAACGCACTTCTTCATCTCAATCACCAGGATAGGTATGTAATACCGTTCTCCTTGGACATCATCTGCCTCGACATATTCATGCTAATTTATCCCTACATTTGATTGATTGAAGCATACGACCCGTTGCAAACACGCTCGTCAAAAGGGGATTCGGTTAACTTGTCCAGAAGCATGAGGATAAGGATGAACGATACGTTTTCAGGAAAGATGCTCTCTTCTTTTCTTTTTTGAGGGGAAAAGATGCCCTCTTCGAGTGTAGTCTTGTTCGACACCGAAGAAGAGAAAGTGATCAATATCGACTAAAGGTAAAGTGGCATAAATTATATTTGTAGACGGTGGTTTCACTCCTTTCACATTTATGTAGTCCGTACTTGTATTTGAGATTATATAACTGACCATATGGAGTATTGCAGGCTTGCTTCAGGAGCTCCTGTCTTCATCCACTAATTAGAAACTCGGCTGTTTCGGTGCCAATGCAATGAGTTGGGGGCACGGTCCGTTTTGGTTTCACCGTCAACTTTTTTGTTTCCGACCTTTCCTTTTTGGGTGTGCGGTCCCTTTTTCTTTTTGTTTCGCTGTCAATAAGTGTGCAAGAAATAACCTTAAGTCCTTGGGGTCGGTTTAGTAGCTATGACTCTGCTGTTGGCAGTTGTTAGAAAATGTATGTGTATCAGTAATTTCTTGTCCTTGTACTCCCTCCGTCCGGAAATACTTGTCCTAAAAATGGATAAAATGGACATATCTATAAGTCTAGATACAACCATTTTTAGGACAAGTATTTACGGACAGAGGGAGTATGTCATTTCGGTTGTACTAAATCGGCGACATTGATATGGATAGGAGGGAGTGCCTTTTTCTCAAAAGAAACTACTGGCTAAACAATTTTTATGTTTTCCAAGGAAATTTTAATTTTTCAAAAAGGGGGGCAACCATTGATGGATGCAGCCATTTTATTCCGGATTTCAAGTCATTCTTACAAACAAAATGAAATAATTATACGACTCAGCGAAATGCAAAAATATTGCAAGTCTCACTCAGGCATCACAAAAAATCCTATAACTAGATGAACATCCATATTGATCGAACAAGATAAAATATACGTAGTATGTGACAAAATGATGTATAAAAAGACAAAACATTTGAATTAAACTTATCACAACGTCATATGTTAATGAAAATGTGAAGCATGGACAATATATTTTTGCTCCAAGCGTCCAACACATACATCCATACCATACAAAAGTTAACAAAAAGTATTTAATTTATGATTGACGTGCATGACTTGATGAGGTGGCATAGTTTACATAGATAAATTAATGCAATAAATGTATGCATGCATGACTAGTTGATGTCACCCGACTTTGGACGGGCGGGTATCAATAATTGAGGTGACGAGAAAGTAAGCATGTGCGAAGAAATCTAGTAGTGGATGCTATCTATCTAAATGCAAAAGATCCTTTTTAGTGAAATAGTATGAAATGTTCCAACTCTATGAGAAATATCTTACACAAACATTAATGTTGAGAATTCTATGACATGTCGTGCGAGATGAAACATACAACTAGGTTGGTGAAGATCTCCACCGCACTTGACAGGAGTGTTGGACCTTTTCTTGCTAGGCCAATTTCTTGTCTCATATATCATTTCCGGTGTCTCATATAGATTGTTTTGTTTCTATCACTCCCATTTTGTTCTACCTTTTTCTTAAAAAAAACTACGGGCTAAATAACGTTTCTGTTTCCCAAAAGGTATATTGTTGTCTTAGGATGCAAGTTGTGCTTGCGATAGTATGATGAGAATTTTATCTTTTCAAAATGGGCTATGATGTGAATTGTCCTTTTATTAGTGAATTTCATCATTCTTGCAAAAAGTTGAAACGCAAAAAAGATTGCATGCCTTGTTGATGCATCACAAATCCTATAACTAGACCGACATCCATATCAATCAAACATAATAAAAGCCTAGAAGGTATATGACAAAATAATGTATAAAACGAAAAAACTTTTGAATTAAACCTAACTCGGCGTCATATGTTAACACAAACGAACTTCAACACTAACACACACAAGTAAAAATGAACCATGCCAAGAAGGTTGAGATAGAGATGGACTCAAGTTGTTGCTGTCAAGTTGATCTAGGGCGAGGAGGTTGAGATAGAGATGGACTCAGTTGTTGCTGTCAAGTTGATCCAGACCAAGGAGGTTGATAGATCGGTCTACTCGTCGCTTATTATAGAGATTAGATACTGTATGTCTCTTCGTGATTCTTGTATTACTCATGTTAATCGTAGCCAAAATGAAGTTAGTGATAGTATAGTCAAATTTGCTCGTGTAGAAGGCAAAACCATGACTTGAATTGGCTCGGGTCCTTTGGACGCTACGGAGGATTCTACTATTGATTGTATGAACTGCTTTAGTTGAGTAATACAATATTTCACTCGCAAAAAAGAGAAAAAAAGAAAGAAAAAGAACAATGTTATTGAATTATATCCTCTTCTGAACCGAACAAGCACAGATGCCCTGTGTTGGCTTCGATTCCCCCCTATGCGAATTCAGTTCCCCCCACTGAACAGCGAGAAAAGATTGAACGACGCGAGTGTGGTTCCATTCCGCCACTGAGTCCAATCGATTCCCCAGAGGATGCTTCGGCGACGGCGTCCCGTCCGGTGGGTGACTCGTGGGGTCGGGATGCGGCAACAGCGGCCCCCAGCCCATTCGATCTGGCGTCGGGTTCGATTATTTGTTAAGGGTATCGACTTCCAAGAACAACAATTCAATTCAGAGAGGCACTCCATTGTGTCCAAGGATTTTCACCAGTTAGGGCTTCATTGCCCCCATATTTAGGTTCCTTTTGGAAGAGGAGTAGATTATCTCATCCTCAGCAAGAATGCAAGACAGAATCTTGAGATGGAACTCTTGGAAGAGGAGGAGATTGCAAGTACTGTATTTAGCAATAGCTCTGCAGATGGAACTAAACAAAGTAGATGTAGATCTGCAATCTTCAGCAGGTTGAGGTCCCCGGGCTGTTTCGTTCTTTATTATGCGTATGAGTTTTTCATTGTGTACTTCAGGGATCATTTTCAAATTTCAATGTCAATGGGCACATGGGCAACATGCGTGTATGCAAATGTCCACACCTACTGAGGTCGGTTTTGTTTTGTCTTCCTAATCTCATTGTTTTGTTTTATACTTGTCGGCATCATGAATGAGTACATTACATTTTAGAGCTGGAGGTTGCTTTCTCCATTGTACTTGTATCTCCAAGACTTCATGTAGCAAACCTGCATGCTCTTGTAGAGGCTCAATTCACCATTAGCCGCAAACAAAAGGGGGGCTGGTGAAGCGATTATTTCAACTATCCCATCGACAGAGCTAACATAACATCTTTGCCCTGCTAGCCGTTTAAGAGCAGTATATGAGAGTAGTAGTGCCTGATGACTCAGTAGTCATCATGTACCCTCCCTGTTACCTATTCTATTCTTCCCTAATCAGAACCTGTAAAGCTTAATTTGTTCCCTCTTTTGGCAAAATACGGGCTTTTGAGCATTATTCACTTTACTACTGAGTCTGCTACCATACAAGGATCCAACTCCTTTACAATCATTTGGCCAAGACAATAAATTGCTACCCAACAGATAACAATTGATGGTGAGGCTTCTGATTGGCAACCTCAACGGCTAAGTGGCCTCATCACTAATCCGAGCCCATGTTATTTCTTATCATTAACAAAAGGGAGCAAATAGGACAGTTCAACCATCCTGACGCACAAGGTTAAAAAAAAGATATTGTTGTTTTGTGTGACAATAAGACCTCGTGTCGCGCATTGCTTTGAGTAACTCAGTCCTATAAAGACAAGCTGAGGATCTCCTGCAAGAGCCAAGCAAGCAATGCATATGCAGGTGTGGTAGAGTGGAAGCATTCAGATCCAGGTACCACAGGCCTTCTCCTCCCTTGGTTAGTCCTCTACCTATCTATAGTTCCTTGCATAGGCGCTTGAAAGTTGGATGCTGGAACACATGAGTTTTTCCACATTTTTCTTCGTTTTTCTGAGATAAAGGCTATGAAACTTGCATTGATGATTTGCACAAGGGATGGATACAGGGGTCATCGTCTATTCCATAATGATGCTCAAATAAACATGTCACATTAAACAAAGATGTGATGTCCCTAGAAAGCTTATTTAGGGTAAAATAAAGAGAGGGGAAGCAATGCGGATGGTGGAGCCAAAAGGAGTAGCGAAGGAAATGGAGTTTTTCCAGGAAACATGGGAAACACATAGAATTTTGCATTGGGTGGCTAGCACTTCATTTCCATTATTCTTTTCTATCTTAAGTGGAGATCGTTAAACTGGATCGTGATTAAGCTCCTTTTTCCAAGAATTATCTGTGGCTCTCTCATTCTAAGTTCTAACTATGCATATGTCTGTTGCCTACACATCCAAATAGCTGATCTGCTTCAACCCAAACGGTGTCTGTACTGTAACCAAGATGGGAAGTGCAGGTTTAGAGCAAACAAAGGTAAGGGCAAGCTTTTTCGATCAAGGCTTTTCTTTAGAAATGCTTCGCTCCGTACTGTCTTTGCCTTCATCAGCAAACTAAACTGGCACTAATGGGTTCCTTTTTTAAAACTTTAGGCGCGCTCGCACATCAATTGTGCACAACCAGCGACAAGAACCTGGCAGAGGAAATTTGACGATGAAGGCAAGAAGATCGAACTGTTTAGCATGACCATGAATGATATGATATCAATCGTACGTATTTGAACATACTTTATAGCTCCCAGGTTTCTGTGTTGATCATATTTTGAAGAATATGTAAGGTTCAAAATTATCAAAACGGTAGATCATTTTGAACATGACTAGTTCATTCATTTAAAACGAAAGTGATGCAAAAAAAGGTTCAAAATTATCAAAACAGTAGAGCGTTTTGAACATGACTAGTTCATTCATTTAAAAAGAAAGTGATGCAAAAAAGGTTCAAAATTATCAAAAAGAATACTCTGTTTGAGAACTCTCCCCTACTCTTCACTTTGCAAGACCTGTCACACTTGGCAATGATACATGCCGCTGGCTTGCTCAGCCATGCCATCAAGCAACTGACTGATGAAACAACACTGTTGTTGGCTTTGAGCAACAAGTACTACATACGTTATTCCTCTGTGAACTTAATACTAACCAAATTCCTGTTGGTGGTCCTTCAGATACCCATGGTTCTCAAGGGACTGATGATAAATGCCGACCAGAGGGGAAAAGGCCGGGTGAGTGCTCAACGTTTAGAAATATATCATCGCTCTTCTATTGTTAAAGCAATTATGTAGATTCACTCTGCTTTGTCATGGAACTTAACGAAACAATTCTTCACTTTTGCGAAGGATATACTCTATGACCCATTCAGGAAATGGATGGACAACTGCTACCGTGGCCTACCCCTTGGTGGCCTTGGGTAAGTTCCAGTCTTTCCTTTGCAGATTATAAATTAGCTATAGGTTCACTATCAATCAGGTACATGTAGGCTTTTCTGTCATCTTGAAGCTTGTCATGGTGGTTTTTAACTCAAAAATGTTTTCCATAGCTGATTGAACTTTACATGGTACTCCCTCCATCCGAAAATACTTGTCATCAAAATGGATAAAAAGGGATGTATCTAGAACTAAAATACATCTAGATACATCTTCTTTTATTCATTTTGATGACAAGTATTTCCGGACGGAGGGAGTACATGCCTGTTCTCAAATCACATCCTCTTTTATCAGTTCAGGAAGCATTGGGAGAAGCTACAGAGGGTACTTTCAGCATTTTCAGATATTCCCAGCATTATATGAAGAGAAGCCTATCCTTGCAAACCAATTTTCAGTAACTATACTTAAATCTTCCATTTCCCAATTGGCGATTCCTAGTGTCACTCTTAAGTCTTAACTGTAAAGAACTTCTAATGGTTGACACTATTCACTTGTCTAGGCATTCGTCTCGCGTCCCAATGGAAAGAGCTACTCCACGGTGTTGGCTGCACCGACTGCTGATGCTCTCAAGTAAGCTGTTGATCTCAACAGGATTATTTCTGGTCATTAAAATGGACCAGAGATATCATTCATTGTGCATACTTGCAGGGGAGTCGATAAGGCAGCTATTGGATCTTGGGACTGGAAGCTTAAGGAGAAAAACTGTACTTATCATGCCTTGTTCCCAAGATCTAGGACAGTTTATGATGGTAAATTCCTAAAAGCAATAAGGTTTTGTATGCACTTTTATATTTTACCTGATAGATACATGTCCATGAACTGAAGATGTTCTGTGGTACACTATACTAATTGCAATGTAGGTGAACCTGACCCTGAAATCAAGATCACCTGCCGTCAGATATCACCAATCATCCCTCACAACTTACAAGGAGAGCAGCTTACCTGTTGCAGTTTTCACATTTACGGTACATTTTCTTCTTCGGCAACTTAATCAAAATAACACGACATGTACTTTCCCCTGTTGCAGTTCAGCACTTAATTTTGATCGATGAGTCTTGCAGGTGCAAAATTCTGGGAGCACACCTGCAGATGTAACATTGCTCTATACATGGGCTGTAAGTGCAACAAGCCAACGTGGTGCCCTTTTAGCATGAAGATAAAAACGCCTTATCAGTGAGGACCTAATATGTATTTTGTTCATCCTCCAGAATTCAGTTGGTGGGAGATCAGAGCTGACTGGAAATCACACCAACTCCAAGATGATGTAATGAACGTTAAATTCGTTTTTCCGCGCACTTTGTGTTTCATGCTATGCAGCAGCAATCTCTCTACAACCTTAATTACTTATTGGTTCTTGCCATTCCTTTTTATGTTCTTACACAGGGAGCATGATGGTGTGCACGGTGTTCTTCTGCATCACAGGTGTGTCAAATATTTCGTTTCGCAGAGCTTCAAATGATACAGAACTGCGAACATAACAGCAAACTTGGGATGGCACCAATGTAGGACTGCGGATGGGCACCCGCCGGTGACGTTCGCGATCGCGTGTCAGGAAACAGAGGACGTCCGCGTGACAGACTGCCCTTTCTTCACGATGGGGTCGTCCGACTCTGGCGACTTCACGGCCAAGGACATGTGGGAGGAGATCAAACAGCACGGTTCCTTCAGCGAAACCCGCACCAGCAAAGAGCCAAGGGCGTCGAAGCCCGGATTATCCATCGGAGTGGCGGTCGCAGCGACGACGACAGTGCCGGCAGGGGGAACCCGCGTTGTGTCGTTTGCTCTGTCGTGGTCGTGCCCCGAGGTGAAGTTCCCAGACGGGAAAACGTATCACAGGTGATGTGTTTTGCTAATTCTGCATGGCTAGTTGGTTTTCACTTTCAGTGAGATTTCGATGAATTTTACTAAATTTCAATAATTTCAGTAGACACTTATATTTGCTTTTTTTGTCAAAATATTTCAGTCATTTAAGTTGTACACAAAAAAAATCAGTAATTTGGTGGGTGGTGAAATATTTCTGAAACTGAAATTCAAAACTACTACTGTAGCTGTTTTTCCTTGTAACTGACATGGCTTTCTGGAACAGGAGATACACCAAATTCTGTGGCTTGGATCGAGATGCAGCTGCAGAGAGCTTGGCTCATGATGCCCTTCTTGGTAAGCTCTGGTGATTGATTGTTAGCCATAGGTGGTCAGAATTCTGATGCTCATTTGCTATTCCTTCTTTGAGTGTAGAACACATGGATTGGGAGTCCAAAATCGAAGAGTGGCAGAGGCCTATTCTGCAGGACAAAAGGCTGCCTGAGTGGTAATCAGCTCGTACTCCCTTCGTGTCTTTTTAGTCCGCGTATAAGATTTGTAAGTCAAACGTAGTAAGGTTTGATTGAGATTATAGGGAAAAAATATCAACATTCACAATATGAAATCGATATCATTAGACGCATCATTGAATTAAATTTCATATTGTATATCTCTAGTATTGTAGATGTTGATAATTTTGTATATAAATTTGGTCAAACTTTATAAAGTTTGACTCAAGACAAATCTTATATGTGAAGTAAAAAAGAAGAAACGGAGGGAGTATCACTTTGCTCAAGTGTCTCTTCACAGTTTTTCCCATGGCATTATAGTTGACATCCTTTACACACCCAGAATTACTTCCCAGTCTGCAAAACTTATGTAGTTGCAGATCATTCCAGGGTATAAAATCGCAAGGGGAGAAATGATTTATATGTACTTGCTACCTAGAGTACTAATAATCGATGTCATGTTTGTCTTCAGGTATCCGGTTGCATTGTTCAACGAACTCTACTATCTGGTCGCTGGAGGCACCATATGGACAGGTGAATGCTCATCTCCATCACTATCAGCCAAGTATGATCTGCCGTAACGGATTCGTAGCATGGAGCTGACAACAAAATCTCTGTGTCAAATGTCACAGACGGACGGCCTCCAAAGATGAGCGTCGCCTCATCGGGGACGGGGACGGAGCCATTCTCCCTCGACGTGTTCCGCGCAGACCTGCAAGGCACCCCGGTGGTGGACGGCGTCCTGAGCGAGATGACGTCCGTGACGGAGGACCTGCACTCGGCGGCGGCGTTCGGCGCAACGCTGCTCGCCGACGGCGAGGAGAACGTGGGGCAGTTCCTGTACCTGGAGGCGATGGAGTACCACATGTGGAACACCTACGACGTCCACTTCTACGCCTCCTTCGCGCTGCTCTCCCTCTTCCCGGAGCTCGAGCTGAGCCTCCAGCGCGACTTCGCCCGCGCCGTCCTCCTCCACGACCCGCGACCCATGCGCACCCTCAACGGCAAGACCGTGCCGCGCAAGGTCCTCGGCTCGGTGCCGCACGACGTGGGGCTGAACGACCCGTGGTTCGAGCTCAACGCGTACATGATCCACGACCCGTCGCGGTGGAAGGACCTCAACCCCAAGTTCGTGCTGCAGGTCTACCGGGGCGTCGTCGCCACGGGCAACGTCGCCTTTGCCAGGGCGGCGTGGCCGGCGGTGTACCTGGCCATGGCCTACATGGACCAGTTCGACCGGGACCGGGACGGCATGATCGAGAACGAGGGCCGCCCCGACCAGACGTACGACCTGTGGTCCGTGTCCGGGGTCAGCGCCTATACCGGCGGGATCTGGGTCGCGGCGCTGCAGGCCGCCGCTGCCATGGCGCGCATCGTCGGCGACGGCGACGCCGAGTGCTGCTTCCGTGCGCGGCACCTCAGGGCGAAGCGCGTGTACGATGACGAGCTCTGGAACGGCACCTACTTCAACTACGACAACAGCGGCGGCAAGACGAGCTCGTCCATCCAGGCCGACCAGCTCGCCGGGCAGTGGTACGGTCACGTGTGCGGCCTGGAGCCGGTCGTGGAGGAGGAGAAGGCCCGGAGCGCGCTGGGGACGGTGCTGGACTACAACGTCATGCGGGTGAAGGGCGGGACGGTGGGGGCGGTGAACGGGATGCGGCCGGACGGCACCATCGACATGTCGTCGACGCAGTCCAAGGAGATATGGCCCGGCACCACCTACGCCGTCGCGGCCGGCATGATCCACGAGGGCATGCTGGAGGCCGCGTTCCGGACGGCCAAGGGCGCCCACGACGCCAGCTGGTCCAAAGACGGCTTCGGGTACGCGTTCCAGACGCCGGAGGCTTGGACGGCGGAGGGCGGCTACCGAGGGCTGCACTACATGCGGCCCCTCTCCATCTGGGCGATGCAGTGGGCGCTGTCGCCGCCGGAGCTCCACAAGGACCTCGGGCCGGGAGCCTCGCCGGGGGACGCGTCGGTTGGGCAGGAAAAAGTTCGAGAAGGTGGCGAGCATGCTGAGGCTGCCGGAGGAAGTGCAGCACAAGGGATTCCTCCGGGCTCTCTACCATATTCTCCGGCAGGTGGTGCTCCCGGTATGACACCTCCAGCTCTGCATGATGCTGGACGAATAAATTTGTCGGTTGATTGGATAGAAGTCCCCGCAAGGCTGCTCGCGCTGTTGGAGTGTTCTTCCTCCTTTTTTTTGAAAGATCCGGTTTAAGCCAGCTTCATTGATTTAGGAGAAAGCATGCGGGAAACAGTTGTGATCAAGTGATCGGGTGAAAAGCTAGAGAAAAACAGGAAAAAAAAGAGGCGGGCCTCTAAGCATGCTGCGCCAGCAAGCCTCCATTGACTCCCTTTGATGGCCTGGATCACGTCTTCCTCCCTTGCATCTTGGCTCGAAAAACGCAGGCGTTTCTCTCCTTCCAGATGCGCCATGCAACCAAGATCAGCATGGTTTTGACTCCTTTTCTGAACCTCGCTGGGGTGTGCCTGATCAGCTCCTGGCAGTGATGTAAAGGGCTGTGGTGCGGCGGCATGATCTTCCTCAGGAGCTCGCAGCCAGTCCATGCCGCGGCCTTCCGCCAGATCGATCTGGTGAAGGGGCATTCCCACAGCAGGTGTACCGAAGACTCTAGACTTCTGACGCAAAGCCCGCATAAATAACTGTTTGGCCATCCTCCTACGCTGCAGCCTGTCGTTGCATCAAAGCCGGTTGTTGTGCAGCAGCCAAGCGAACATCTTAGTGTTCCCCGAGGCCCAAGCTTTCCAGATGACATTGCTGAAGCCCGTGCTAGGCAGAGATGGGAATTGCATTCGGTTGCCTGGGCGGAGTAGCAGTCATCACCGCCAAGGGTCCACTTGATGATGAGGACATCAATACCATTGTTACACCCACAGCCCCTACTGCTACATATACGGGACCAATTACTAGAGCTCGCCCACGCCAATTAAATTATCAGGTACTTTCGTTTCTTGGTAATGATTCTAATGTTCATGAGAATATGATGCTGCCTAAATTGGATACATTTGTTTTGCTTACAAATGAAGGGCCTAGCTTGAAGAAGGATGAACATTGGAGCAAGAACAAGCATGGAGATGATGCCATGCGCAAGGGGAACAAGAACGGAGTTACGAGTGATGATTTCAGGACTTTGAAGCCACCATAATGGGTGCATGAAGCCATGGACGAAATATACAAGATGCCACGTCATAAATTTCGTCCTGAGGCTATTATAGGTGCTGCGTCACCTTTTTATTGGGCCAGGCCCATGTAATTTTGAAATACATAAGTATAGGCTATTTTTAGAGTCTGTATGTGTGGGGAAACAAGAGATAGGGTTGATTTCGGACCCCTCCACCAAGGGCCACGAAATTCCCCCTCTCTTCTTCCATATATACAGCCCTTAGGGCACCGTTTAGACTTTGGGTTTTGTTTAGATTAAAAGTTCGCCATAGCTGCAACTTCGCGTACTTCGTTTGTGTTCAACGACCAGACAAAGGCGTCACAGAACCCCACCTTGATCAATAAAGCTTTCATCTTATATTAGCAATATCCAGATTGCAATCTTAGTTTCTTGCTTGTTCTTCATTTGCTCGCAGGAAACAGACCCTCGTGGTCAGGTTGATCGTGCTCCGGCGTGGTCAATAACCTCTCGGAGTTGGTTTAGCGATTGCTAAGGCGCGACGTCCTCGCACGTTCGTAGTCGGATCGTCAAAGTCGACTTCCACCAAAGCGATATCCATCATCTCATCGAAAGACGGGACACCTTTGCCTCTATCAAGTGGTATCAGATTTCCAGGTTGCTCGGTGAGATTTTACAGTTTTTCGTAGTTTAGATCGAGTCTGTTCTTCATACCTATAGTCCACGAAAAAGCCAAAAAAAAATTAGGGTTAGTTCATCCCATCCGAACCAATCTGAGCCTTGCATAATCTTTTCTGTATTTGCTTTGTTGAATTTGCGGTTGCATCGTCGTGTCCAGTTGCTGGTCTTAGTGTCTAGTCTTTTAGAGTTTTGAGTTCTGTTCACAGGTTGTCACGTCGCCGCTGCCATATATCACCACCGCATCATCATCGTCGCTGTTGCCATATACCACCACCACATATTCACCGCCAATCCGAATCCATATACGCCACCACATATCCGCCGCCATCACGCCAATCCGAGTTCACCTGCAACATATATCCGCCACCTGTCCGTGTTCCACCAGATTCATCTCCGCCACCAGTCCGAGTTCCACCAGATTCATCTCCGCCACCAGTCCTAGTCCGAGTCTAGTAATTGTTGCATTGTTCTCGATTTCCAGATCACGCGATACTCCGAGTCGTGACAGAGAAGGACTCCCCAACCTCCGAGCCATCCGCAGAAGAAAAATAGTTCCAATTTCAAAAAAAAAACTAAGTCTAGAAAATTCTGGCTAGGCAGTTTTTAGACCTTTTGTAGACTTTTTCGAAAAAAATTTGTTGCGGAGCAAAAAAAAAGAGGGAAAAAAAGTGCAAAAAAAAAGAGAGAAAAAAAAATTCAGAGTGTGCTCCTCCCTTGTTTACGTGCCGCGCCGTGATTTTGTTGGTGTTCTTGGCTCGCGTCTCTAGCACAGTCTAGCCTAGGACCAGCACAGTACCGTCGTTGAGCGTTTATTCAACTTTGCATCTCTGAATTGATTATTGCTGACCCTTTTTGCTACCATATTATAAGCCTTCCCAGCTCCACATACATCTACGTCATGCGTTTGACTCTCCCTGGTAATCGCTCTATCCAAGCTTTGAGAGTTTTGACTACAACGGTTGCCGATCACCGCCTGTTGCTGGGTAAGAACTGGTAAGAATTTGAGTTTTGCTTGACGGATTTGTGACACCCACCACCACCACTTGTTCGTAGTCTGTAGGATCATATTCTTGTGTGTTTCTATTGCTGCTAACCATGCCAGGATCACAAGCCGACGAGATTGACTGGGAGAATTTATCGAACAAGGAGCTTCATGATAAGTTTCAGCAAATGATGACTGAACAGGTGCAAGATGTGCTGAACAATTTTGAAGAGGCCATGGAGAAGATACTGGCCTTGAAAAGACGTTCGAAACAAAGCTCGATAACAAGTTTAATGAATTGCTCGCGCGTCTTCCACCACCATCCGCTGCACCTAACGCACCTCTCCAACAACAACAACAACGACTACCTCCACGTCGCGAAACAGACCTTCGCCGAGCGAGCCGTGTTCCTCTTGCGTTTGGCCAAACTGTTGGTGCTGCTGTTGATACTTCTGTGGCTCCTGATGCTGATGCGGAGGAGGATGATTATGTGGGAGATTATGAGGATGAGGTTGATCAAAATCAGCACTATGTGCAGCCACCTGTACCACCACCAGCAGGTCGACCTCAGGTATATATTCGTAATGGTAGGCCTGCACCACCACCTCAGGTACGAGATGATGTCCATATTCCTAAACTGAAATTGAATATTCCACCATTTGAGGGTAGATATGTTCCTGATATATATCTTACTTGGGAGTTAGAAACTGAACAACGATTTACATGTTTACAATATCCTGAGGAGAGATGAGTTGCTGCTGCTGTTTGTGCTTTCACTAGTTTTGCATGTGTATGGTGGTCTGAACATTGTAGATTATATCCTATTCCAACTACTTGGGCTGCTTTGAAAACCGCTATGCATACGCGTTGGGTTCCACCATATTATCAACGTGAATTGCTTCAAAAATTGCAGCGTTTAAGACAAGGGAAAAATTCTATAGAAGAATATTATCAGGAATTACAAACTGGCATGATTAGATGTGGTATTGTTGAGGAGAATGAAGCTATGCTTGCACGTTTTCTGGGTGGATTAAATAGAGAGATTCAGACCATTCTAGACTATAAGGAGTATACTAATATCACTCGTTTATTCCATCTTGCTTGTAAAGCTGAACGTGAAGTGCAGGATCGACAAGCATTGGGGCGAACTAACTTTTCTGCAGGCCGACCTTCATCATGGACACCACGTGCATCTTCTACTTCAACTGCACCAGCACCTCCATCCGGTGCCACCTCCAACCGTGATACAAGAAAATAGGCACAGCCACCATTATCTGCCAAGAGCGCACCTGCGGGGCCTGCACAGCGTTCTTCTTCTTCCATGTCATCAACAGGGCACACAAGTGATATTATTTGTCGTCGTTGTAAGGGAGGAGGTCATTATGCGAGAGAATGCAAATCTCCGCGTGTGATGATTGCTACTGCGGATGGTGGATATGAGTCTGCTAGTGACTATGATGAGGAGACTTTGGCTCTTATTACACGTGAAGAACATGGTGGAGATGATTCTGATCATGAGACGCAATACATGGCTCCTGAAGACGCTGACATGTATGAATGTTTAGTTGCTCAACGTGTTTTGAGTGTGCAGATCACACAAGCTGAGCAAAATCAGAGGCACAATTTGTTCCATACCAAGGGAGTTGTGAAGGAACGTTCTGTGCGCGTCTTCATAGACGGAGGGAGCTGCAACAACTTGGCTAGCATGGAGATGGTGGATAAGCTTTCTCTCACCACAAGACCACATCCACATCCTTACTACATCCAATGGTTCAACAACAGCGGCAAGGTTAAGGTAACACGTACTGTTCGTGTGCATTTTAGTATCTCTACATATGCTGATTATGTTGATTGTGATGTGGTACCTATGCAAGCATGTTCCTTATTACTTGGTAGACCATGGCAATTTGATAAAAATTCTGTACACCATGGTAGAAACAATCACTATACTCTTGTTCATAAGGATAAAAATATTACTTTGCTTCCTATGACTCCTGATTCCATTTTGAAAGATGATATTAATAGAGCTAATAAAGAAAAACAGGAGACAAATAAGAGTGAAAATCAGATTGTGGCAAAAGAATTTGAGCAACAAATGAAGCCTAATAATAAACCATCTAGTGTTGCTTCTGAAATTAAATTGAAAAGTGCATGTTTATTTGCCACCAAATCTGATATTGATGAGCTAGATTTCAGCAAATCTGTTTGCTATGCTTTTGTGTGCAAAGAGGCATTATTTTCATTCAAGGACGTGCCTTCCTCTTTGCCTCCTGCTGTCACTAACATTTTGCAGGAGTTCGCTGACGTCTTTCCACAAGACGTGCCACCGGGATTACCGCCTATTCGAGGGATTGAGCATCAGATTGACTTAATTCCCGGTGCTTCACTGCCAAACCGTGCACCATACCGTAC